CCACAACTTTTGGGAGGATTTACAATTATGTAATATCATACATACATGTCTGTGATATATGCCTGATTTGCTGCCATTAAATTTGTTTCATGTTAAAAGTGTCCCCATCCTAATACAAGCACCCTTTGTTGATATTTAATAACAGCTAATTACTGCACCAATGATTCATATTGCACCAAGCCCATGATCCTCATGGGAATAGCAGGGATATTATGGATTTTTAAAATCCTGTTAAAAGTTCCATCAGATTGTAAAGTTACCTAGAAATGCCCTTTATTGCTTTTAATATATAATATCTCGGCCATTTAAGTGTTGTTGCCATCACAAAACCACCTCCACAATTTCCTGGTATTAATGCAGGGAAATTCTGTAAGCAGTCCGATACATTAAGTAGTCAAACTTAAGTCAAAAAGTATTCTTACAATAGACCATTTATAGGCATATTAAGTTATATGCTTTAGGATAATGCTATTTATTCGTTTTGAAAGCACTTACTTTTTATTGACCAGATGTTTGTGAAACATTTGCAGAATAATGTGGGTGTGTAAATTGATTTTAAATTGAATTTGAAATCTACTTAGGAAGTCCTCAATTATGAAATTGGCCATGAGGCATTATTTATATGTAATATGGTAATGCTTTAACCCTTAGCCATGCTCACATTGGCAAATCATTCGATCTTCCATTCTACCAGCCATGTGCCGATGTGCTGATCTTGGCCTCTGATCTTGGTCTACACTGTTGGCATTTTAGTCAAGTATTACTGTACATATTTTGAAATTTGCCCTAAGAATTGGTCAGTTTTTTCCTCCAGATTAAAAGATAAATAATTGTCCGTTTAAGACATTTAATAGCACTATAAGAGTTGATTGACTTGGATACTGTCATTGGCTAGAATTGGTAAAGCAGGTTCATGCTCCGACTTCACCACAATTTACAATGGAGCATTAACAATAGGTCATATGGTAATGCTATTTATTCATTTTTAAAGCAATGACTGTCACTGACTAGATGTTGGTGATAATTTGCAGACAATAGAGTACACTTTTCCCCCAAGGAGAAGACTTTACAATGCATAATGTCTCTCACAGTAAAAGTCTGACACAATATTTTGACAAAATTACTTAGTAATGCCAGACAAAATGATGAATAACTGATAAAATGCTTCAGAAAACAATGGGAACCTCACTGTGTGCTGTAATGTTCAACACCTGGTTTTGTATTTCTAGCTAACAAGGGGAGACATCTCTTTGTTTATTTTATGTCTTTTTTCCACAATAATAAGTTATCTTTGTCAGACATTCAGAACTTTCTGAAGTTGAAGACAATTGAACCTGCCTCCAGGAATCATTGTAATCAGCCTAGACAGTCTATTGTGATTGTTTACATTGTGTAAACTGGTATCATATATCAATATTTGTTTTAAGACAAAGGCTACGTAAGAAAAAAACCTGTGAAAAAAACAACCCTGTGGCAACACTACATGAAATATTCTTTCACACAGATTTTGTTTGTTATTTTGGTAATAATGTATGTTTGGCATTTGGCATACAGTGCAATTGAGATGGCCGTTGACTTAAGATATTTAAAGGGCTAGCTTTTTCAGTTGACTTAAGATATTTAATCGGTGGTTTAACTTACTGTCATTCTTAATGTTATAAACTATGCATGCAAAAATGTTGTGTCCCAGACTCACTTAATTAAAGTAATTAAGTGATAGATTAATTGTAATTACTAGTAGGTTTGCTGACGACTATGAAGATTGTAGGCTTTATTATCCTGGCACTGGGACGATGAATAATTCCTTGATGTAAGGGAAGCTAAATGGCCTCAAGAGACAGGGCCGGGGCAGTAAAATCAATTGTCTGTAATGCCCAGGCTGGCACAGTCAGCCACTAGTACAGAATGATGATGAGTAAAAATTTTTCCAGAGTTTTCTTATAAATATCATAATTCATGGCAAGTAACGAAAAAAATTTTATAAAATGGACAAGCAAGTCTTTGTCTGGGGCCCTGTGGACTGTAGGGGTTAGAAGTGCAAACTTAAACATTAATAAAACTACCAAATCTTTACACGTGAAGGCATTAATTTAGGCTGATTAAAACTGCAGTGAAAAAGGAAATCTTAATGTCCAAGCATCACTCACTTAGATTAATTTGAAGTTCTTTATGCTAAATATTTCACACAATACCCTCTGTTTTATTTCTCTGAAATTATGTAACTATATTATAAAAATAGACTTAAAATAAACATAATGATGTGTTATTGAAATTATCAGAACTTCGTGATAGTGTAGGAGTTGTCATCAATTAGAGGAGATTAAAAGAGATAGTGTAGTTGTTGATTATATTATGCAAAGAATGTAATCGTGATAGTGTGAATATATTTATAAATATAAAATTATCAATTATTTCATGAGGTCGTAATACTGATATTGGTTTATACCAGGATATCCACTTTATTTAATCTTCTTAGTTAAGTATTGATTAATAAAAACCTGTCACATTCATAAACAAGATACAAGTGGCCACTTAATGATAAAACATTATGTTATATATCTATTGTTGCAGTATTATAGCGTCAGCTACGATTTAAGGGTTTTAAATAGAGTAGCGATAATTATAATTATGTAAACGTTTTCTGCTGTCATTTAATAGAAAAATATTGTTATTGATCAAGAGTCTTATTTTCACTATAAATATCATAATTATGACATGCACAATATATTTGATAATATTGTGTTTTCAATTCATTGCCTTAATTTTTTCAGATTTAAAGTCCTTAGTCAGATTTCAATACTGTGCTTCAATTTTGTCAGATTTCAATTCTTTGCCTTGATTTTGTCAGATACCAATTCTTTGCCTTGATTTTGTCAGATTTTAATTCTTTGCCTTGATTTTGTCAGATATCAATTCTTTGCCTTGATTTTGTCAGATTTCAATTGTTTGCCTTGCTTTTGTCAGATTTCAATTCTTTGCTTTGATTTTGTCAGATATCAATTCTTTGCCTTGATTTTGTCAGATTTCAATTCTTTGCCTTGATTTTGTCAAATATCAATTCTTTGCCTTGATTTTGTCAGATTTCAATTCTTTGCCTTGATTTTGTCAGATTTCAATTCTTTGCCTTGATTTTGTCAGATTTCAATTAATTGCCTTGATTTTGTCAGATTTCAATAATTTTTATTGTATCATTTGGGCAATAATTTATAATTATGTTATCCAGAGCAACTTGCTGAATTTTAATTTAATTTTTGATGTCGAAAGCAAATAATTTGTCTGAATTTTCATAAATTATCCTAAAACCTTGTACATAATGATTCAGCTTTATTTTAGTATGACTTAAAGCATGGAAATATTTCTCAAGTCAGTTTATTTAAATTACCATTAATTAAAGAATAAGCAATCTTTCAAATTACAAATCAAATACATGTGTATTTGTTATCAAACATATTAACCTATTTGTTAGGTAAATGATATTCTTAATTGGATGGCCATTAATTTCTTAGCTGTGTTTAAACAGTATTGTGCTTTCATTACTTTATTTAAATAACCATTTGCATTGGGCATTCTTGTATTTGTATAAGCATATCTGTCAGTAGATTTATCAAAGAAGCTCCTCTGTCAGCATTGCAGTTTAGTTGTATTTACCAATGTATAACATTTGAAAGGTCACTGTCTATTGTTTGTTTTTCACACACCATCATGTTTTTTGTGTTGATTGTCATATTCTTGGCTTTTGATCATCATATCATGGCTTTTGATCATCATATCTTGGCTTTTGATCATTATATCTTGGCTTATGATTGTCATATCTTGGCTGTTAATCATCATATGGCTTTTGATCATCATATCTTGGCTTTTGATCATTATATCTTGGCTTATGATTGTCATATCTTGGCTGTTAATCATCATATGGCTTTTGATCATCATATCTTGGCTTTTGATCGTCATGTCATGGCTTTTGATCGTCATATCATGGCTTTTGATCATCATATCTTGGCTTTCCATCATCATATCCTGGCTTTTGATTGTCATATCTTGGCTGTTTATCGTCATATGCCTTTTGATCATCATATCTTGGCTTTTGATCATCATGTCATGGCTTTTGATCGTCATATCTTGGCTTTTGATTGTTATATCTTGGCTTTTGATTGTGACATATCTTGGCTTTTGATTGTCATACCATGGCTTTTAATTGTGACATATCTTGGCTTTTGATTGTCATATCATGGCTTTTGGTTGTGACATATCTTGGCTTTTGATTGTCATATCATGGCTTTTGATCGTGACATATCTTGGCTTTTGATCGTCATATCTTGGCTTTTGATTGCCATATCATGGCTTTTGATTGTGACATATTATGGCTTTTGATTGCCATATCATGGCTTTTGATCGTGACATATGGCTTTTGATTGTCATATCTTGGCTTTTGATTGTCATATCATGGCTTTTGATCGTCATATCTTGACTTTTGATTGTCATATCATGGCTTTTGATCGTGACATATCTTGGCCTTTGATTGTCATATCATGGCTTTTGATCAAGACATATCTTGGCTTTTGATCATCATAGCTTGGCTTTTGATTGTCATATCATGGCTTTTGATCGTGACATAACTTGGCTTTTGATTGTCATATCATGGCTTTTGATCGTGACATATCTTGCCTTTTGATTGTCACTAGATAACTAACCAGTAGTTTATAATCACTTTCTCCACAAACAACCCACTACTAATCTGGCATTATTTCGGAATCAGTGGTGATTGATGCACGATGGATGAACAAGGTCAATTGTCACAGAGAAAGTACACCTCACATGAGGATTCAACCAGCAACCACTGTATTGAACTACAATGTAAAGAGGTTGAAGCAATTTCTGTTTCCCTTACAGAATTTGGTACATAAAATGCAATCTGATCTTTTACATAACTAAGAAAGATCAAAGAAAGCAGCTGTTTTATTTCAATGCTTCATTTTTTTCCTTCAATTTTCTATTTTCAGTATTGTAGTTGGTGCTCCAAATTTAGATCTTCAATTTTCCAACGAGAATCATACAGGCGGTGTTTATAAATGTAACGCACTTTCACCGAACAGAAACGACTGTGAACTCCTGCTCAGAAATGAATACAGTAAGTAACTATGCAACATTAAAAATATATTTATGCAGTAATTAACAATTTTGTAATACGATAAACCAAAATATGTCAATAAATGTAAAGATCACAGAATTAATCTGAAGACCTTATTAAACAAAAGAAGTTCTCAATAAACCTTGATCTCAATACACATAATGATCTCAATATATGTTAAGATCTCAATAAACTTAAAATCACAATCATAAGATCTCAAGTAAATCTTAACATCTCAATAAACCTAAATATATCAAAATAAACATCATAGTTATGTTTTTCGAAATCTGGATATTATTTATGGTACAGTAAACTCAACTTACAACGATATCACATTATATAACGATATCACATTATAAGTACATACCCCTCTCAAAACGGAGCTCACAGTTGCTGCGGTCCCGACTCTATTTTCAAATAAGTTGGATATAATGATATATGGATATAATGATACCCTGAATATTGCTTTTAAGCTGAATTTACCTTATAATGAAAATTATCTTCTTTTTTTTTTCAAGTCCATCTGACTCGGAATGCTATGTAAATTAAAAGACTACGGTTTTCTGCTAGCTTTTGTCATTAATTTCATTAGATGAATGCATTTAGAATAATTTGTCATCCTCTCAAATTTTGCTTAAATTCTAATCAGAAACATGCTATCACGAATTCCTGTTACCCTAACCTCACTTAAAGTATCTTTAATGGACATCATTTTTAAGGTGGGAAAATTTTATTTTAATATCTGACGGAATAGCTATTTCAATGCAAATCATGATCAAATGGGACACAGATGTGCACGCTGATCTTGGCCTGCACTTGTTGCAGTGATTTTATCATTCAGCTCCCATAAAAACTTGCAACATCCATTTAAGAAGGTTGTTTCAAGAATGATTGTAACTTTATGAATGTTCTGTTTTTGTAAAATGTAATAAAGATAACGTGTTATATTGGTTCTCACAGCAAGTTATTTATACAATGAAAAATTAAAAAAAAACAAAAAACAAAATGCAGAACAAACCATAGGATTGTGTTGGAGTGCAATACTTGTTGACAGTGAGTGATTATTTCCCAATAAACCAGCAAAAAAAGCCAACTGATCATTTCGTTAATGCATGAATTCTTCAGACATGCCTTCAATATTCTCTGAAAACAAACAAGGCATTATGTTAAAACAAGAAAGGCTTTCTATATTTGAATTTTGTGCAGAAATTAATCAAAATGTTAAAACAAAGTGATACACAGACTAAGATGTTTGTCGACATTATCCATTTTATAATTTGAATAAAAAGATAAGATGTAAATAGAAAGAGAAAATAATAAAGTATTGTTTCCTGATTGCCATGGATATAATGATATACATGGAAAAAGATTTTATTTTTTATGCTCCCCGAAAAATTTCCGTACGTCCCGAATTCGTGTCCGGCCCATAACTTTGTTATCTGAAGTCGGATTTTAAAACTATTTCACAGAAATGACCACCATATTGAGACGACGTGTCGCGCGCAACATTTGGCTCGCTACCTTGAAGGTCAAGGTCACAGCATGACCTTGCAGCAAAATCGTGTCCGGTCCATAACTTTGTTATTTGAAGTCGGATTTTAAAAATATTTCACAGAAATGATCACCATATTGAGACGACGTGTCGCGCGCAAATTTGGCTGGCTACCTTGAAGGTCAAGGTCACAGCATGACCTTGCAGCAAAATTGTGTCCTGCCCATAACTTCGTTATTTGAAGTCAGATTTTAAAACTATTTCACAGAAATGATCACCATATTGAGATGACGTGTCGTGCGCAACATTTGGGTTGCTACCTTGAAGGTCAAGGTCACAGCATGACCTTGCAGCAAAATCATGTCCGGTCCATAACTTCATTATTTGAAGTTGGATTTTACAACTATTCCACAAAAATGATCACCATATTTAGACAATGTGTCGTGCACAACATTTGGGTTATTTTTACTCTTTGAACTTTGTCTGTGACATAACTCTGACACTACAAGAGGTATACCTTCCTGTGTCCAAAACCTATTCGGGGAGCATCACCCGGTTCAACCGGCTCTTGTTTTGTTTGTTGGTTGCTATAGAGACAATAAAGTACAGGGATTAAGATTTCATTTTGCTGTTGTATGCAAATTTAAGGTTTTGACTTCAAAATTATGAATAATAAACACATTTTGATAACAATTTCTTTTATTTAAATATAACAATTTTGATTTATTCAGAATATATTTCATTTAGTTTTTGTATGCAAATTTAAATTTTTGACTACAAAATTACAAATATTTTTTTTTTAATTCAGTATGATTATTTTGTGAACATGTTAAAAAAATCATTGGTTTGACATCTTACACTTTGATTTGATGCAAAAATAGATAAACTTTGCAACTACTTGACTGCACTTAAGTAGGTTCATTAGTTTTATTGATAGCACAGCTTTTTTTTATCCTTTGAAAAACAATGGATATATTTTGATGATAATATGACTAAAATCATTGTCTAAAACAATGTAAAACTGGCTTTGAGGTTATAAAACTGAGGATTTTCATTGGTCAGTTCACATTTTGTGCCGGTTTCTGACCATTGAAATAATTGTGAGATCAGAGTCTGAGCATGGAAAATGTCTTAATAACCTTGGACCCTAATCTTACCTCTCATACATCAGAACATGTATTATATAATGCTATTACAGATAAATGAGAATAACTCACAATTATATTCTTTTGTTAATTACCTCCCTTTGCAGGTCCATCATCTACAGTAGATAACGGAAGGAACAATCAATGGCTTGGTGTGGTTGTAAGAAGTGGTGGCCCTGGCAAAGGAGTTGTGGTAGGTTTTCATAGAATTTCCGTCTCACCATTTCCGTCTCACCGACGGCACACATGTCCTTGTATACATTACTAGCATAGAATAAATGAACATTGTTTAAAATCTCAACAAGTAAGGGAAAAATTGTGAAATAAGGGTGCCCAATTGTAAAAAAAAACTGCAAAAAGTAACTGACTATTTATAATTGTTTATGATTTAGAAAAAATAAAAGAAAGTAAAAACTTAACATAAATAATTTAGGAGAAAGATTAAGATCTATGTGCTGTCAATTTATTATGTGACGGTATTATGTCATAATAATGAGAAAAGTATTGAATTACCATTTTAGTTCTTAAAAAGAGAAAGATCTTTTAAGATAAATGCATATTTTATTGAAAGAAATCGCAAGGTTCTGATTTAATTGTAAGATCTTGTGTAAAATTGAACATGCACCACTGTATTTTTATAATGCATTCACTTTGTACATAGGAGGTTGTTTCTATAAAATCATTGTATTAAAAAATTGTAACCTTGAAAAGTTCATTTGTCACTGTACTGACCTATGGTCAGTGTTGTATGGTGTTACACCAAATAGATAACAGGTTAGACATTGGTCAGATGATAGGGTCAGGATATATTTACACAGGCATTTGTCAGTTGAAACTGCAAAAAGTATAGGTGTGATATGGGAAATTGACAGATTCTCAATAATATTGTGTTTTTTTTATGATGAACAAATTTTCATTTAACAAAATACGTTTGAAGAAAAGTTTATTTTAGTTTGTTTATAATATACAGGTTTTTAGCTTTGCCTTTTTGAATAATATGGAGAGTTACTGTATTCACCTTTGTCTTTGTGTCAGCTTTTATGTGCAGGTTGATATGTTCAAAACGGCTGAAGGGAATCTTAAGACACTAAAATGTTCTCTGTGATATCGTAAATGATTGGCACAGGTCCCATAACTCTTGAGTTACCTTTTAACAGAGTTATACCACTTATTTTTACTGTCAGGCACCAACAATGGCCAAGTAAGCTGTCTGACAAAATGTTGTTCTTTTATTTACAAATGTTGTCCTTTTATTTACAAAGACAATTTTTAGATTGACTATTAAAAGAATAGGGAGAGCTATTTGTCACCTTAGTGCAATAACTGGTTAACTCCTATAAAACCTTAAAGGACTTAACCTGTTACTGCACTAAAGTGACACATTGTTCTTACCAAGGTGTCAGCGTCACACTTCTAGTTTTTGCATGCAAATAGATATCTCCAAAACTACTGAAGAGATCTCGAATGGGTTGAAACTTCACAGTCACACTTATTTGAGAGCATTATAGAAGGTCATGTCCAAAGCTCATAACTGTAATGTAGATTTTAACAGAATTTTGGCCTTTTTCGAATTAAGAAAAACTTCTACATTATCCAGTCTATTGTTTTACTATGAAGCTCTGAGATCATAGTCGAGCATCATCTGTCCTATCGACATATCTTGTTAAAATATATACATAACATATATAATCATATAATATACATTTATTTACATATACAACAGTGGTCATAAGTTTACATTGAAAATGTGATGTTAACTGATATATCAATAAATGGAATGTCAAGTTATCTTCAATGATCTATACCAAGATACTTTTCAAATTTGTGGTTTCACATTATCAGTTACTGGCAATTTGATATAAGTAGTTTTGAAGTATTTTAACACTTGACTATATTATGGGGGAGTGAGGATATAACTTGAACAAGAAAGGGGTTAGTATGAATTGTGTGAAGTGGTTTATTTTTGTTGTTTTTTTAATCGGCTTAGAATAAACATTTATGCATCAAAGTCAAAGTACTTATTTACTTTTTTGTCCCATGTCGTGATAATAATTTAAGTATGAATGCATTGTTATCATGCATTTGTCATACTTCAATTGTATAATGCTTTTAATTGTATTTGTTTTATGTTTTTGTTATTTCGAATATGGAAATTGCTTTTAAAGTCGCACATTGACATTTAAAGGCAGTAATCTTGGATCTCTTATTATTGCTCAGTGATTAATCGGGTTATGTAAAAGTGACATGTGGGTGTTACAAAGTTAATAGTGACATTATTATTATATTACTTTTATAATTTGATAGTAACCTTTGTGTATATTGACCAAAAAATGGAAGCTGATCTGTGGCACTGTAAACATGCTGGACTTGTGATCTGTTATTTCTTTGATTGTTCCAAATTCAAATCAAGAAAAATTCATGCATTATTTACTGTTAAATACACCCTTTGCCAGTGCCAGCAGCTACTGATTCTACCCATGCAACTAGTGCAGACCAAGGTCAGTTGGCATATATGTGCAAATGAGCCTTGTTTGCTGATTCAGTCACTATATATTTTGAAAATAACCATGTTTGTTTTTTTACATTGAAAGATGGACAAGTCCATATAAGATATTTTGCATGGTTAGGGTGAAAATAGAGAAAAACAGAATCCCTAAAGAAATTTAAGCTCAAAACTACAGAATTGGCAATGTTGCACTCTGGCTAGGTTTGATTGAGCCTGTTCATGGACGGTACATGAAAGTGCAATTTACCGTCCACACCCCCTACTATCCTTATTATTGCATCTTTCTTTATTTTAAACAACTTGGCAAACATACAGATTGGTGTTATTGTTCCAACTTACAAACTTGTTTTGAATGAACAACCATGCATTGATAAAGTGCATATGGTTTCAGGGCACAATCAATCTTCCGCACAAATTGATTGTATATTTCATGCCATTCCATGATATAAGAGATTTAATGAGCTTTTATATAACACAGATTCCTTCTCCAAGGCTAGATTTGTTTTATTGAAATAATTGCTAGGATTGATATAATTGTTCTTTTAAATGCAATGCACACTGCTCCTGAAGTTCTGAGCTGAAATGGCTAATTTGATTGCCAATTGATCATGACATTAATCAAAAAATTAATGCAACTATGAGTGTGCAATGTAATAAATGAATTTTTGGACCAGTCAGTTAGAAAAGCATAATGATTGTGTGTTATGGAAAGTTTTCATGAGTTTATACAATTATTTCTGATAAATGAAGGAGTTTTAAGTTTTAATAAATCAGGCCAGTTAACTTTATGAAAGGTTATTGGTTTTTCAAAGAAAGTGCCTGCATGCTTTTGGCTGAAATAAAACATTACGTAAGAAGCACTAGTTGAATGCTTGGATGAGTACAAAACATGGGTCATCTCTGATCACAGGAGCTAAAAATAGAAAAATCATTGTAAGTCTCTAGTGGCTACTGTTGGTCTGCAAGTTTGCTTTGATGATTTCTAGGTCAAGTTCGAATATGGGTCACCTGGGGTCAAAAACTAGGTCACATGGCCCAAAAATGGAAAAACCTTGTTAACACTTAAGTGGTCACATTTTTAGCTCGACTTTTCTATGAAAAGGGGAGCTATCCTACTCGCCCCGGCGTCGGCGTCGGCGTTAGCGTCGGCGTTGGCGTCACACCTTGGTTAAGTTTTTCGTACCACCCCACTTTATTTCAGAAGTATTACAAGTATGGCTTTGAAACTTACCATACTTGTTCACCATCATAACCTCCATCTACAGACAAGAGTACATAACTCTGTCAAGGTTTTTGACAGAATTATGGCCCTTTTTTGACTTAGAAAGTGTATTGAGCTTGGTTAAGTTTTTTGTACCACCTCACTTTATTTCAAACCATTGGAGGTATTGCTTTGAAACTGACCATACTTGTTTACCATCACGACCTTCATCAACAGACAAGAGGACATAACTCTGTCAAGGTTTTGACAGAATTATGCCCCTTTTTGACTTAGAAAATACATTGAATATGGGTAAAATCCACTTATTGCCTTAACCCTTTGAGATATTGCTTTGAAACTTTTAATGCTATTTCACATCATTACCCCCATCTGTACGCAAGAGAAGGTAACTCTGTCAAGGATTTGTTTTAAAAATTAAGGCCTTTTATCGACTTAGAATCTTGGTTAAGTTTTTAGTACCAGTCCACTTTTTGACTGAACTGTTTGAGATATTAATTTGAAAGTTGGAATACTTGTTTACAATCATGATTCCCAAACATGTCCAGGAGAAGGTAATTCTGTCAAAGATTTTATTTGAATTATGGCCCTTAACTGTCAATGTTTTGTATTATAGGCAAGCACTAAAAAACTTAAAAAATCTAAAAAAATTCATTCCTATCCACTTGTTCACTTTACCATAAATTATGTCATATAAACATTGCTGTAATATTCAAGGGTATCAAAAATACAAGTACAAAAATATACTGCTTCCTTGGCATAGATTTCTTGAAAAATTATGTTATTATGTCATTTACCAAGGTGTTCTGAGTGACGTAAAAATACCTTATTCTCTCAAAGTGGGTTTAATACTATTAAATTTATTTAAGGCTCAACTCAGTTTTTTTTTCTTTCTTACCAGCCCTCTTTTGACTTAAACATTTCAAACTTTGCTGCAGTGTTCAAGGGTATCACACAATTCAGTAAAATAATTCTTCACTAAATATCTTAATGCTCATGGCCATTGTTCACTTTAAAAATACAGAGATTCTTGTATTGCCTTTTACTGCAAAAACTTTTTTTATTGGCAAGCAATAAAAAAGTCGAGCGCGCTGTCTTACGGACAGCTCTTGTTGACTCGGTTGTCATCAAACTTGGGCAGTAATTGCTTGTCATAGTAATTGCTTGGTCAGGTGAGCGATCTAGGGCCATCTTGGGCCTCTTGTTTCAGTTGTTAAAACACTAGCATCTCCATTAATGAAATATTATTAAACATATGTTTGACATTTCTAAAGAATTCAAAAGATATGGATTCCTGTTAAGGGCTTACATTAGTAACGGTTCCCATTTTATTTCAGGCTTGTGCCCACCGGTACAAGGACCTGAAGCAGACCGGGAACAGTGTGAACATCTATGGTATTGGGTCATGCTACCAAATGACCCAGGATTTACAATTTAATCTAAATTTAGCCCAGGGGAGGCTTCTAAAACCATGTCAGGGTTTACCTAAAGGTCAAGAACATGAAGAATATGCCTTCTGTCAGTCTGGAATAAGTGCCTATATCACTGAGGTAAAATGTTGTTAAGATATTTATTGCGTATAGGAGGTTATACATGTATTTAAACATTTTTACTTTGTTTTTCTTAAATTCTTGAATCTGAGTCACTTAATTTTAAAATCTTTTTTAATGATTGCACATGTATTTAAAATTCTTAATTAATTTTTTTTTAATTGTAGAAAATTGATCTTTTATATTTTGGTTGAAAATTGAAGCAAGATAAACAGAGTCAGCAAAAACAGTTTAAAAGTTGATCATGTGACTTTCATAATCTTAGTCATGGCAATTGTTTTATTTAAAAGAGATGTTTAACAATATTTTTATGATTTCAATTAATCAAAAATTGCCTAATTTATTGGCTTGATGCATACTAGTTGTAACCCGTATGACAAAAATAATGAGTTACAGCCATTTCGGGTCGAAACCTTGATGTGAAATTATGAGTAAGATATAAATAAATGTTGACTGTATGTTTTTGTAGGAAGAAAGACTAATAGTGGGATCTCCTGGTGCAATAAACTGGCGTGGAATGTTAACAGAAGTTGACGTCTCTCCGCAGTTCGGTATCAAGAAAGTGTACAAATCTCCAACATTAGACAGTGATGCCATTAAGCCCCCTGTGCCTCTTATTTCATATCTTGGTATGTATTTTGTTGGTCCTGGTACTGGCCCCTGGCTTGCAATGATCTTTGCCCCACATATCTTGGTATGTATTATGTTGAGCCTGGTACTGGCCCCCTGACTTGTAATGATCTTTGCCCCACATATCTTGGTATGTATTTTGTTGAGCTTGGTACTGGCCCCTGGCTTGCAATGATCTTTGCCCCACATATCTTGGTATGTATTATGTTGAGCCTGGTACTGGCCCCTGACTTGTAATGATCTTTGCCCCACATATCTTGGTATGTATTTTGTTGACCTGACTTGTAATGATCTTTGCCCCACATATCTTAGTATGTATTTTGTTGACCTGACTTGCAATGATCTTTGCCCCACATATCTTAGTATGTATTTTGTTGACCTGACTTGTAATGATCTTTGCCCCACATATCTTGGTATGTATTTTGTTGACCTGACTTGCAATGATCTTTGCCCCAAATATCTTGGTATGTATTTTGTTTAGATTTGGTACTGGCCCCTGACTTGCAATGATTTTTGCCCCACATATCTTGGTATGTATTTTTTGAGCCTGGTACTGGCCCCCTAACTTGTAATGATCTTAAAGCCCCACATTATCTTGGTATGCATTTTGTTGGTCCTGGTACTGGCCCCTGACTTACAATGATCTTTGCCCCCATGCAACTGTTTGAATTGCACCGCAGAGACTTTAGAATCTTTTATGTGAGGGAGCTCAGACAGTTAAGCTAGTGTATCGAGGGTTGGTCACAAAACTGTTGTAAGTCCTTTATTTCACATATAAGTTACTGCAGTTTTGCGGTCAACCCTCGATAAAGATGGTCAGTGTTTCTACCCAGATGCCGTCATGTGACTGGAATGATACAGAAAAGAGTTCTCTAAGGTATCTTTTCAGATGTAAAGCTGGAAACTTTAGCATGACTATTTCAATGTTGGTATGAATTGAAATTCGTCAACAAAAAAATTGTTGTAGTCTTAGTAGTTTAAATATACCAGGACATTTTTGTTTCTTTATTCTCGCATATGAGTAATGACCATGTATAGGCCCTGATGTTGATTTCTTTCCTTAACTGAAGCTGACAATCAAGTTCTAAAACAATGTTGAAATGTGCCAATTGTAGACCAAGCCACTTTAAAGCAGCATGCCTCAAAATTCATAATAAATTTCATGAAAATTTTGAAAAAGTATTTAAAAATTATTATATTTAAGTGAACAAAGAAAGTAATTTACTCATTGCAAAGCGCACTTACAATTCTTGTAAATAACCAAAAGGAGGTCAAAATGTGCAAAAATTGCTCTTTGCTTTAGTCATGCAGTAGAAATATAGTGATGAATGCTGTAAAATCAGTCATTAATCATACATGACATGTAAATTATTACTTGAATCTTTTTACTTTTCTTAAAATCTTAATAAATTTTTCTCACATTTGATTTTCTTTAAATATTTTGGCTTATCTGGCATGCAGCTTTAAGAAAGAAACAGTTTCAGATTTTCAGTTTTATTAACCAGGTTTTCAACTAAAACCGGGTTATTGTAATGCCGAAGTCTGCGGGCGGGCGGGCAGGCGGGCGGGCGGTTGTCAACTTTTGGTTTCCGCTCAATAACTTTAGTTTGCTTTGGCCTATTGACAACAAACTTGGTGTGTAGGTAGCTTATATCAAGAGGCAGCTTGGGATTGCTAGCCAGGTGTCTGTGATCAAGGTCAAGGTCACTGTTACTAAAAATAGAAATTCAGTTTCCGCTCAATAACTTGAGTTTGCTTTGGCCTATTGACACCAAACTTGGTGTATGGATAGCTTATATCAAGAGGCAGCTTGGGATTGCTACCCAGGTGTCTGTGATCAAGGTCAAGGTCACTGTTACTAAAAATAGAAATTCAGTTTCTGCTCAATAACTTGAGTTTGCTTTGACCTATTGACACCAAACTTGGTGTATGGATAGCTTATATCAAGAGGCAGCTTGGGATTGCTACCCAGGTGTCTGTGATCAAGGTCAAGGTCACTGTTACTAAAAAATAGAAATTCAGTTTCTGCTCAATAACTTGAGTTTGCTTTGGCCTATTAACACCAAACTTGGTGTATGGAGAGCTTATATAAGGAGGCAGCTTAGGATTGCTATCCAGGTGTCTGTGATCAAGGTCAAGGTCACTGTTACTAAAAATACAAATTCAGTTTCCGCTTAATAACTTGAGTTTGCTTTGGCCTATTGACACCAAACTTGGTGTATGGATAGCTTATATCAAGAGGCAGCTTGGGATTGCTACCCAGGTGTCTGTGATCAAGGTCAAGGTCACTGTAACTAAAGATAGAAATTCAGGTTCCGCTCAATAACTTGAGTTTGCTTTGGCCTATTGACACCAAACTTGGTGTATGGATAGCTTATATTAAGAGGCAGCTTGGGATTGCTATCCAGGTGTCTGTGATCAAGGTCAAGGTCACTGTTACTAAAAATAGAAATACAGTTTCCGCTCAATAACTTGAGTTTGCTTTGACCTATTGACACCAAACTTGGTGTATGGATAGCTTATATCAAGAGGCAGCTTGGGATTGCTACCCAGGTGTCTGTGATCAAGGTCAAGGTCACTGTTACTAAAAAATAGAAATTCAGTTTCTGCTCAATAACTTGAGTTTGCTTTGGCCTATTAACACCAAACTTGGTGTATTGAGAGCTTATATAAGGAGGCAGCTTAGGATTGCTATCCAGGTGTCTGTGATCAAGGTCAAGGTCACTGTTACTAAAAATAGAAATTCAGTTTCCGCTTAATAACTTGAGTTTGCTTTGGCCTATTGACACCAAACTTGGTGTATGGATAGCTTATATCAAGAGGCAGCTTGGGATTGTTATCCAGGTGTCTGTGATCAAGGTCAAGGTCACTGTAACTAAAAATAGAAAGTCAGGTTCCGCTCAATAACTTGAGTTTGCTTTGGCCTATTGACACCAAACTTGGTGAATGGATAGCTTATATTAAGAGGCAGCTTGGGATTGCTATCCAGGTGTCTGTGATCAAGGTCAAGGTCACTGTTACTAAAAATAGAAATTCAGTTTCTGCTCAATAACTTGAGTTTGCTTTGGCCTATTGACACCAAACTTGGTGTATGGATAGCTTATATCAAGAGGCAGCTTGGGATTGCTACCCAGGTGTCTGTGATCAAGGTCAAGGTCACTGTTACTAAAAATAGAAATTCAGTTTCTGCTCAATAACTTGAGTTTGCTTTGGCCTATTAACACCAAACTTGGTGTATGGAGAGCTTATATAAGGAGGCAGCTTAGGATTGCTATCCAGGTGTCTGTGATCAAGGTCAAGGTCACTGTTACTAAAAATAGAAATTCAGTTTCCGCTTAATAACTTGAGTTTGCTTTGGCCTATTGACACCAAACTTGGTGTATGGATAGCTTATATCAAGAGGCAGCTTGGGATTGCTACCCAGGTGTCTGTGATCAAGGTCAAGGTCACTGTTACTAAAGATAGAAATTCAGTTTCCGCTCAATAACTTGAGTTTGCTTTGGCCTATTGACACCAAACTTGGTGTATGGATAGCTTATATTAAGAGGCAGCTTGGGATTGCTATCCAGGTGTCTGTGATCAAGGTCAAGGTCACTGTTACTAAAAATAGAAATTCAGTTTCTGCTCAATAACTTGAGTTTGCTTTGGCCTATTGACACCAAACTTGATGAATGGGTAGCTTATATCAAGAGGCAGCTTGGGATTGCTACCAAGGTGTCTGTGATCAAGGTTAATGTACATGTATTTAGTTTTCATGTTATAACTTGAGTTTGCTTTGACCTTTTGACACCAAACTTGCTGAGTGGCAGCTTTGGATTTCCACTTAGATATCTGGGAGCAAGTTCAAGGTCATTTGCTTACAATAGAATTTTTAGCTTCTACTCAATAACTTCAGTGCACTTTGACCTATTGATTGCTGTCACATCAAAACTTAGACGTTGAAAACCTGGTTTTTGTCGCATTGCGGCGCTTCTTGTGTTGAAATTTTACTGGTTTGATATCCTTTAGATTATAAGTGTTGATGAATAAGTGTGAGGACATTTTGTGGTTGAACCATTTTCGAGAGAACTTGATTTCAAGGAAAATTATGTTCTAATCACCCACTTTGTTTAGAATAGCCTTTTCAGATAATGTTACATGTAATTTGTAAAGTAGTTTCTCCAGTAAAGGATCGGAAATCCTTTGATGTTTGAGTTTATGACACGAGTATTGTTTATGATCGCAGGAACTTTGTAATCCAATCAATTATCAGCAGAAACTTCCTACTGTTTTTCCTGTTGAGTTTAGAACAGTCCATGATTTGTTGTTTATATTTAACCTTGAACAATGCTTATAAGTGTTTAGACCTTTTCTTCCAAATAAGGACTACACATAAAAATGCCCTACCACTAAAGGCCAGCATTTTGCATCGATTTTCCCATTTCAACAACAATAGTGCAAACGTTGTAAATAAGGGGTACTTTGTACTTTTAGCGACATAAGAGCAATAGCATGAACAAGATGAAGTTATCTAGCTAACGGAACGTCAGTGATTCTGCACAGGTGCCCGTTTGTGCCTCAAATAATGCACTGAGGGGTACCAGTGAAGTCTCACTCCGCCAGTAAAACTTCAAAATCGCCATATGACCATTACATTGTTGGTATGACTTTAAGCCCAACCAATAAAAATTAAGAATTCCTAAGTTATTGCACAAATTAGCAATGTTTGGATGTCCCATTAGTCAATGGTCACTTTCTTTTCATTTCCCAAGAAAAATATTTATGTTGTGATGAAATTAGAAATTTTGTTAGTATATTAATTTAGTTTTCTCTTTTATTTTTGCAGATTTTTTCTGACCTGATAGCATGGTAAAAAGCCCTGTAAATTAGTTATTGGCCATCCATTTACTGTTGTTTATGACTGGTACCTATATATTTAGCTACAGTGAAAAGTGGACCAGTCTCCTTTAGCCCTTATCCTGCTTTGTAACTGTTGGCTTATGAACTTTATATCCCCCCAAAATAGATAATGGACAGTCCCTAAAAATTGAATCTGGTCAATATAAGAAATTAAGTAGATGAATAAAATATCTGTATTTTGCTCTCCTATTCTGGAAAATAATTGATCTAATATATTTTTACCAGTTTTACTCATACCCCCAATTATCTGGTACCAGAAAATCAATGTTCTTGGCTTTCATTATTCCATACTGATAATTTTACTGATATTTTTTTCAGTATTGGTAGATAAACTTGATTGCTGGTAATGTAAACAGTCATATGGTATCCATAACGTTTATGTTACAAGAAGAAATTTTCCTCCCTGGAATAAAACCAAAGTGAAACAAAATGCATATCTCTAATGCTAAATCTAGTCCAGATTTTAAACTGTGGCTTATTCTGACAAGCACAAAGAACCGATTGAAATTTGTCATAATCAATATAATTATGGTGTGCAAAAAAACTATATCTGTACTAAAATCTCATTAAGATCAAACCCCTGACAAGAAGTTTTAGAATTCTTAGATGGAAATGGGCCGCAATCATTATATTCATGTACACTGATAGAGCTATTATTATAATAAAGGGAAACCAGTCTATTGGTCATTGTGCATTACTAGCCCCAGATTTTTGCAAAATAACTTCAAGTTTATAACATTAATTTAATAGGTGCAATGCAATTCAAGTTTAAATATCATTGTTGCATGAAAAGATAAAATAGCAACCAAACTTTAGTGTAACAAGAGTTTAAGAGTAACTTCCCTTTCATCAAGAATTGTCAGTTTTCACATCCTTTATGATAATAAAGTGTTAAATATAAAATTCTGCATTTTGTTGCCCCAGTTATGATCAATTTATTATTGATTTCCAAAATTAAAATAAATCTTTAAAATAAAAATAAATCAAAATTGTCATTTTTCTACAGGCTATGCTGTGACAGGAGGAAAGTTTGACAACACCAATAGGACTTACTACGTGGCTGGTGCACCAAGGAGTCAAAACACTGGTCAGGTTATCTTCTTCACAGAAATGACGAGCGGGAATATTCTGAAATATGAAAACTCACAGATACTGTCTGGAGATTTACCGTTCTCCGGATATGGACAGGACCTGATAGCCGTAGATATAAACAATGATGGGTATGGTTTAAGTTTGAATAATGACTTAAATGGACTCCACTGAGGTTCAAATTCTTCAAAAAGTAAAATTTGAATTTCTTATAAAAATCAGCTGAGGGTACTTTAAGCAAAAAAATGCAAAAGTGATAATTAAAAAAAAAAAAAATACTGCGAAGTAAATTGAAAATCATATTTTTGTGCTATTCTAAGATTGTACAGATTCTGAGACAGGCTTTCTCTGTTGTTTAAATTTTATTTCACCCTCTTACATACTTTACATGTTAAATTATTTTTTAACCCACATTTTTTTCATACAAAACATAAACTGATTACAAATTTTCATTTGTAATGTCACTTAGGTGTTAATTATGCCCCCTTTTGAAAAAAAGGGGGTATATTGCTTTGCACTTGTCGGTCCGTCGGTCCGTCGGTCCGTCGGTCCGTAGACCAAATGGTTTCCGATTGATAACTAAAGAACCCTTAGGCCTAGGAACTTCAAACTTGGTATGGTGATTGGTCATGACAAGTAGATGACCCCTATTGATTTTGGGGTCAAGGGGTCAAAGGTCAAGGTCACATTGACCTTGTAAGCAAAAACGGTTTCCGATCAATAACTAAAGAACCTTAAGGCCTAGGAACTTCAAACTTGGTATGGTGATTTGTCATGATCAGTAGATGACCCCTATTGATTTTGGGGTCAAGGGGTCAAAGGTCAAGGTCACATTGACCTTGTAAGCAAAAACGGTTTCCGATCAATAACTAAAGAACCTTAAGGCCTAGGAACTTCAAAACTTGGTATGGTGATTTGTCATGATCAGTAGATGACCCCTATTGATTTTGGGGTCAAGGGGTCAAAGGTCAAGGTCACATTGACCTTGTAAGCAAAAACGGTTTCCGATCAATAACTAAAGAACCTTAAGGCCTAGGAACTTCAAACTTGGTATGGTGATTTGTCATGATCAAGTAGATGACCCCCTATTGATTTTGGGGTCAAGGGGTCAAGGGTCAAAGGTCACATTGACCTTGTAAGCAAAAACGGTTTCGATCAATAACTAAAGAACCTTAAGGCCTAGGAACTTCAAACTTGGTATGGTGATTTGTCATGATCAGTAGATGACCCCTATTGATTTTGGGGTCAAGGGGTCAAAGGTCAAGGTCACATTGACCTTGTAAGCAAAAACGGTTTCCGATCAATAACTAAAGAACCTTAAGGCCTTAGGAACTTCAAACTTGGTATGGTGATTTGTCATGATCAGTAGATGACCCCTATTGATTTTGGGGTCAAGGGGGGGGTCAAAGGGTCAAGGTCACATTGACCTTGTAAGCAAAAACGGTTTTCCGACAATAACTAAAGAACCTTAAGGCCTAGGAACTTTCAAACTTGGTTATTGGTGATTTGTCATGATCAGTAGATGACCCCCCCCCTATTGATTTTTTTTTTTTTTTGGGGTCAAGGGGTCAAAGGTCAAGGTCACATTGACCTTGTAAGCAAAAACGGTTTCCGATCAATAACTAAAGAACCTTAAGGCCTAGGAACTTCAAACTTGGTTATGGTGATTTGTCATGATCAGTAGATGACCCCTATTGATTTTGGGGTCAAGGGGTCAAAGGTCAAGGTCACATTGACCTTGTAAGCAAAAACGGTTTTCCGATCAATAACTAAAGAACCTTAAGGCCTAGGAACTTCAAAACTTGGTATGGTGATTTGTCATGATCAGTAGATGACCCCTATTGATTTTGGGGTCAAGGGGGTCAAAGGTCAAGGTCCACATTGACCTTGTAAGCAAAACACAGTTTCTGATCAATAAGTAAAGAAAAAAAAACCCCCCAAAAGGCCTAGGAACTTCAAACTTGGTATGGTTATTGGTCATGATCAGTTGATGGACCCCTAACGATTTTGGGGTCAAGGGGTTCAAAGGTCAAGGTCACATTGACCTCTTGGGCGTAAAAAACGGTTTCCGATCAATAAACAAAAGAACGCCTTAGGCCTAGGAAAACTTCAAAACTTGGTATGGTGATTGGTTTATGACCAGCAGATGACCCCTATTGCATTTTGGGGTTAAGTGTCCAAAGGTCAAGGTCACAATTGACCTTGTAGGTAAAAACAGTTTCCGATCAATAACGAAAGAACCCTTAGGCCTAGGGACTTCAAACTTGATATGGTGATTGGTCATGATCAGTAGATGACCCCTATTGATTTTGGAGTTAAGGGGGTTAAAGGTCAAGGGTCACATTGACCTTGTACGTAAAAATGGTTTCCGATCAAATAACGAAAGAACCCTTAGGCCTAGGGGACTACAAACTTGATATGGTGATTGGTCATGATCAGTAGATGACCCCTATTGATTTTGGGGTCAAAGGTCAAGGTCACATTGACCTCTTAGGTAAAAAAAGTTTCGGATCAATAAACTAAAGAACCCTTTGGGCCTAGGAACTTCAAACTTGGTATGGTGATTGGTCATGATCAGTAGATGACCCCTATTGATTTTGGGGTCAAGGGGTCAAAGGTCAAGGTCACATTGACCTCTTAGGTAAAGCAGTTTCCGATCAACAACTAAAGAAAAACCCTTAGGCCTAGGAACTTCAAACTTGGTATGGTGATTGGTCATGACCAGCAGATGACCCCTTACTGATTTTAGGGGGTTAAGGGGTCAAAGGGAAAAAGGTTCACATTGACCTTGTAGGTAAAAATGCTTTCCGATCAATAACTTAAGAACCCTTAGGCCTAAAGGAACTTCAAACTTGGTATGGTGATTGGTCATGACCAGCAGATGACCTATTGTTTTTAGGTCAAGGGGTCAAGGTCATGTAACATTGACCTTGTAGGTTTAAAACGTTTTCTGATCAATTAACTAAAAACGCTTAGGCCTAGGAACTTCAAACTTTGTATGATGATTGTGGTGACCAGCAGATGACCCCTATTGAGTTTTGGGTCAAGGGGTCAAAGGTCAAGGTCACATCGACCTTGTAAGTAAAAAACGGTTTTCTGATCAATAACTTAAAGAACGCTTAGGCCTAGGAACTTCAAACTTGGTATGGTGATTTTTCAATGACCAGCAGATTACCCTTTTCGATTTTGGGATCAAGGGGTCAAAGGTCAAGGTCCCATTGACCTTGTAAGTAAAAAACGGTTTCTGATCAATAACTAAAGAACACTTGGGCCTAGGAACTTCAAACTTGGCATAATGATTGGTCATGAATCAGCAGATGACCCCTATTGATTTTTGGGTCAAAGGTCAAGGTCACATTGACCTTGTATGTTTAAAACGGTTTCGGATTCAATCAATAATAAAACAACCCTTAGGCCTAGGAACTTCAAACTTGGCATGGTGATTAGTCATGACCAGCAAATGACCCCTATTTGATTTTGGGGGTCAAAGGGTCAAGGTCACATTGACCTTGTAAGTAAAAACGGTTTCTGATCAATTAAGTAAAAACGCTTAGGCCTAGGAACTTCAAACTTTGTATGATGATTTGTCTTGACCAGCAGATGACCCCTATTGAGTTTTGGGTCAAGGGGTCAAAGGTCAAGGTCATGACCAGTAGATACTTGATAACCCTTATTAATTGTTTGATCACTGGGTCAGAAGTCATGCATAATTACCTTATCACATGAATAATTGGCTGCTGATAGGGGGCATACATGTTTTACAAACATATCTTGTTTATTTATAGATTTTATCAATAATTTTTATCTTACATTTTTATCAATGATATTTCATTAGTAAATTTTACATAAAAAAATACTGGCTGTTTAATTCTTCATTAACGTATCATCCAAAGGGGCTTATGAAAATATTCACTACGGATAGGAATTTAACATTTGATTTCGATAAAGAAAATGTCATTTAAATCTGATATTTATTTGATATGGCATAAAAACTACTCTCGTTGAAGAATAAAGGACATTTTATATCAATATTAAACAGATACGATGATTTGGTAGTTGGATGTCCATTTTACTACGAGAAAGAAAAGGACAGCATCAGAATGGGCGGAGCTGTGTATGTTTACATAGGAAATGGAGACATGGTAAGTAACATATTTAGCTTTTTTTTTGCAGCCACTTTGTTGTGTATATTTCATCATGTCACAAGGCTAGAATTTAGCACTTGCAAACTAACAAAATGTGAGTCAAAAGAAGAAAAATGCAGTAACTTTCTCTTTACACTCTCAAAGTTTTAATTGTGAAGCAGATAGTTAAGGAACATAAATTGATATAACTTTGTAAAATGAAATGAAATTGTAACAGAAAAGTCATCTCTGAAGGCAATTTATGCGAAATAGCAATAATAGCTTAATAAACAAAGATACGCATAAGCATCATTTAGTATATTGGTAAATACTATGTTAAAAAAATGCAAATTCTGTTTGGGTTTTGTGAGTTAGAAATTCTTTAACTCACAAAAGTTTGCAGGTGGAAAAAAGTTAATTCTCTTTTAATACCCTTTTAATGTGACATATTGACTATTTCGAGACTGCCAAGAAGTTTTGATTCACATTCAGGCTGAATATTTTTTTATCAAAAAACTTAACACGATTCAAAATGACAAAATACCCTTACAATGTGACACATTCACCATTTCCAGACTATCAATTTATTCCAGGTCAGGCCGCATATTTTTCATTAGAAAACATATCAGATTTTAATGTAGTTTAATACCTTTACAATGTGACATTTTGACTGTTTTCAGATTACCAGTTTTACCAAGAAGCAGGTTATTAAGGGGCGAAGTATGAGTCAGGACGAGTGTGATTCCTTGCTGTGTTTACATGCTAGATTTGGATTCAGTTTAGCAAATGCTGGCGATCTGAACAGAGACAATTTTGGAGGTAAACAATTTATATTGGGCCGTGTTTGTATATCTAAATAAATCTTTGTGTAAACTTTTAACTGGTTTAGATATCAGTAACAAGTAACATAGAGCCCAATCTGATTTCAATCAGCTCCTAAATAAGGCTACGCATTAGGATCTGACTTCCACCCATAGGTAGTCATCTCGTGGTCTTTCAAACAACCAATCATTGTGAGCTTTCATTATTTTGAAAGCAATGTGAGTTCTTGTTTTAACCCTTTGAAAACCAATACTGAGTAGGTAATTATCATGATTTCGTGAACAAAAATGATGTCCATATAGCAGACAGACCGTCTGGCAAAACAATCTTGCCCATTAAAAATTGACTTTTTTTAAGATAATTTATGAAAATTACTCCAAACATTGTTTTCTAAAGAAAAATCAACAATTTGTTTAACTCTAGTATTTTGATACTTCTTCTAATGCCTGTCTGAAAAAAAACAAAAACAGCTTGATTGCATGGCTAAAAATAGCTTTCTCTGGAAATCCGAATTAAAAAGAAGGTGAAACATATACGTTGGTCATCAGATCTACACAAAAGAAATAAGTAGATCTGAACTTAAGTCATATTGCACAGAGCCATAACAAGAATTTCTTAGGATTTACAGTATCAAATAATTTTTAAGATAAACTATAGTTCAATTTACACACACTGTAGTGATTGAGGTCACTTGAGTTACCAAATCTCTTGAGGTAAACAATACTGTTCAGGACATTTCGTTGACTTCCGAAATGTCTTCAGTCATACTCTATATCCCTGCACCCTTGCCGGAAGCATTTCTTAATGCTCTATTTTGAACTATCAAAGGGATTTCCACCACATTGAAGCCGTCCGTTTAGCTCAATAGGTAAGGCTTTGGACTGTAAATCGGGTGACCCGGGTTCGATTCCCAGACAGTGCAGGTCACATCCGTTGTGATTGATCATGGAATCTTTTCTACGGTCATTCGCACTGTACCTCTGATCTGACATGTACAGAAGTTTCAGTTCCTTGCGAAAGTGAAGGCAACTAGTACTGGTAAACTGCTTGACAGCCTGCCCGGGAATGATGCGGTGGCTGAACTGTGCTCTGGTAAATTCAATGTGGCTTACTGCAATGGTCCGGAGTGAAAACTACCAACACCAGTCCATCACTCCACCACTCCACCACATTGAAACTTAAGATATTTTCATTTAACCTTTAATTGCAAATTTGTAAACAAAAAAATAACTGCCATTGAAATTGAAAATTTGAATTTATAAGATAATATTTCTTTACAGTAGTAAAATGAAAATAGATTTCTAATGAAAATTTATGTATGTCTTTGTTTTATCAGATTTTGCTGTTGGTGCTCCATATGAAGGGCGTGGTGCTGTGTATATATTTCATGGATCTGCTGATGGGGTCAAGGAAGCTTATTCTCAGGTATGATTTAAAAGTATCAATTGCTTTGGACTTAAGATATCAATAACGGTGTTACATATTCTTGAGTTTTGTAAAAGATATTGCTCTTTTATATACTTACAAATGAAATATTGATGAAATAAAATGCATGTTTTCATTTTCTGTATTTTCACTATAAACTATCTTTTTTCACTGCAGTGAAGCATATTTTCGGTATTTTCATTAGTGTCTTGCCAGACTAAATTTGTTTATAAATTCAGCCAAAATATAAAATTTAAGGGCAAGTCTTTTAAATTAAAATGTCAAAAAAGAGAAAAATGTGTGTTATATTTTGAAACATAAAATTCAATTTTTCCTGAAAATACAGGATTTACTTTCACCTTGTGAAGTTGTGATATGAAAATTATCATATTTCACTTGTGGCTCCCACCGCTTATGAAATATTTATTTTCATCCAAAGATAGATTCTGTATTTATTGCAAAAACTTAAATATCCTCTATTTATTAAATGTAATTAAAGCCATTTGAAAGATGATAAATGTAATTTTATTTTACCCAGAACACTGTCTCAGCCTTAAATGATGCAGGACAGGGTACTTATGATTTCCTCTGAAATTAAAGTTTGAAAATTGCCTAAAAGTGATTGTGTCTTTTGTTCATAAAATCTAATTTGGGTTTATTTGGTCAGTCTTGGGGTAAATAACCCCAAGACACCCCAAGATAACCCAGGACACCCCAAGACTACTCTGGGACAGAAATATACACATTTTTTGTCCCAGGACTACCCCAAATAACTTATATATTGTGTAAATTGGGAAAGTTACATTATATTATCATGACAACTGATTATTTACCTGTCATCTTGTTACTATTCAATCCATCAAATATTGTCAATTATGTATGGGCTTTTTCCATCACTAAAATATTTAAAATATACGCTCTTTATAGAGAAAAATATTTTGAATTGAATACATTTTACTGAAACAATAAGACTGTGTTAATCTAACGAAATGTGGGACAGGTGAAATAAAAAAAATATATATCATGAAACAGAATATGATCGATTTAATAATCAGGCATCAAAAATATGTCACTCATGAAATGACAATGTCGTAGATTTGAACTTGCACTACACCAAATTCTCGCAATCTTGGTGTTATTACATTGTTGTTAACTATTTTGCACAAAAAGAATATATTAAAAATCTTACATTAAAAAAATACAGGGAAAGGGAGATAATTCAATGTGTACATGTGAACTCGCATAGTTACCTCCTGTAAACAAAGTAAAATTAAGACTGTATAAAAAAATGATATGTCAGTCAAAGTGTCTTAGGGTGGTCTTGTGGTATCTTGGAGTAGTCTAGGGGTGTCTTGGGGTAAATAGACAGACCAGGGTTTATTGATATTTATTTTCTCTCTATATATTTCAGAGAATCTATGCTGGTGATTTGTCAGACACTACTGGATGGAATACATTTGGTTATTCTCTGTCTGGAGGCATGGATCTTGACAATAATGACTACCCTGATCTCCTTGTAGGCAGCTACATACAAAACAAGGTTAGTCAAATATGTTTACAGAGATTATTTCCTCCCTTTGATGAGACACTGTGTAATTGTTACTGCACATTACCTCACTTTGATGAAATTGTGTAATTGTTACTTCCCTTTGGTTACAAAGGTATAGTTATAAAGTTTATTCCGTTTTAAGTTCAAGTCCCACATGGGACTTGAGAATCTTTCAAGTGAGGAAGCTTATAAACAGCTAGCTTTTGTAAAGTTTTGATTGAGTGCCAGCTAATGTCTGGAATGATGAATAGAAGGGCACCTGAGGTCTTAATCCACAGTTAAGCTATTAAATCTGCAAAAAAAAACTTTTTCTGTGTGTGGTATTACTTAAAGCCTCAATCAGATTTTTTTTATGTATATATATATGTAAATGTTTGTAAATACATGTACATGTATGTAAATACATATGTTTTTACTTTGATGCAGGTGGCTTTACTGAGAACAAGACCTATAATCATGCTCCACTCGAAAGTTAACGTGAGCCCGAACAAGCTTAACATGAGCACTGATGATCAGAAAACATGTGAACATGACGGCAAAAAAGTGTATTGCGTAGAAGTGAAACTATGTCTCCGGTACACGGCTGAACCGGTAGAGAGGTAAACTATTCTTGGATTATATTTTAGTCTGTCTGCTTAAATTGATAGAAAGAACATAGGGTATGTACAATGTACTTCAAGGTCAACTAATTTGATCCTCAAAAAGTTTCTCTATGACAATAGACTTACTCCAGTATATTTTGGGTTTTTCCCAGCTAATCCGTCGGTGCAAACAAATTTTTGCTTTGAAATTAAGAGCAATAGGTAGACTAATCTATTGTTACCGGTAGTGCACCATGAAGCTCAGTAGAATGACAAATTTTTTTTAAAGATTTAAGGATCAGGATCAAGATTAGGATCAAATTTAAAAACTCAAATATTCTCCATTATTTATCCTCATAGATTGAATATTCAGTATTAACTTAATAAAACTGGACTTGAGATAGCATGCTTATGAAATTTTAGAATGAATTTATTCTTATTTTTACAAGATATGGGCATTTTACAGTTGATCCAAATTTTGATCTTGATCCTGAAATTGATCCTTATTTTGATTCGATTATTTTTGTATTTGTTTTGTTATTTGCTGATTTTTCCCCAAAATAGGTTGGTTTCTTTGCAAGTAAGCAATTATTTTTATTCCGAATATGTACCATTTACTTCTAGCATAATACCATCAATTTTAGTTGTATAAAACAATGAAAATAAAATCAGGATCATCTGATCCTGATCCTGATCTTTTCTTTGTGAACACGGGGATCAGCATGGAATAACCCACATTTGCGGAGTTCTGGATAACATCTGTTGATCCAAGACACACAAGAGTCTTATTGTCTTTTGTCTCACAGCCCTGATTAAGAAACCTTGTGAGATTAATAGTCAGTCACTTTTGGAGAAATTGGTCATTACTAGATACCCAGTCATTGAGGTGGACTGACCACGAAGTTATGACCAAATATATGTTAAAATCAAAGAAAAAAAACAGAAAAAAAACAAACAAGCATCAAAATTAGCTTATAGAATATCTGTTGCCTACTCAAATACTTTAAAGGTCATTTTGACTGTACAGGCCTGCTTTATTTTGATATAACAAACATATTATACTGGGCTGAGAATTATTACCCTATCAGGATTGTCAAATCATTTGTGCTTAAAAAGAAGTACTTGTTTCTATTCCTTGCAATGTATATACACAGCCATTTTATAAGGAAATCTTTCCTTCTTCCAGGTGTTTAAGTCTTCTTGTAAAAGGTGTAAAATGTAATATGACCAGCAAAGAATATAAATAAAATGATATCTATTACATATGTTTCAGATTCGATGCTCCTGTTGATATTATATACACCATCATAGCTGAACCAGGCAAACTCAGTCCACGAGTCGAGTTTATGAAAGACGGCAATAAGACGCAGGAAGTAAAGAATACATTTACACTCTATAAACAAAGAACGACGGGCCTATCAGCAGACGATCCTGACGCTACATTTGCTTGTATTTCTCATACAGCTTATTTAAAGGTTTGTATTTATTGATATATTAATTTCATTACTTAGGGAGTGTGTGACAGGGTCCATCATAAAAGTTTAAGCTTTACCATTCAAAGTGTATGTAGAGCTCTGTAATGGATCTAATAAAAATAGCAGTTAAAAAAGTGGTCGTTTTGGGTACAAATTTGATGATTAATGACCATTTTATACCTTTACTGAATGACAATTTTAAAGCTTTTTTTTGAATTCTTACAAGGCATTAAAAGTTATTCAAATGAAAATATCACATGGAGATGGACTTGCGTATTGGGATTATAAGATGTATGTAAAAGATAGAAACCATGAAATTGTCCAATTAGTGCAGTAGTGGGTTAATTTCTATTAAGTTTAAGAAGAGTTTACCAGTTATCTGCACTAATGTGACGAATTAGTAACTGTATTTAATTGGTAAAGGATAAACATAATAAACAGGATCCATTATTAACATCATATTTAATGTCATTATTGCATGTTAAGTCCATTTGGAATCTTTGTTGTATATTACAACATTTATATCATGATTTCTTCATTCTAGACTCCTATAATTGACGTATGGTCGGCCATTGAATTTGGCATCAACTTTGCACTACCAGAGAAAGATCCCCCAGTGGCATCATCTCCAGATACGCTCCCGGATATCAATGAATTCCCAATACTTGATGCAGGAATAAATTCTGTCGAAAATCAAATGGTTATGACCCAGGTAAGAAATATTTTACAGTCATACCTGTTTGTAATGAGAAATGTAAAATTGAAGCAAAAAACCTACCTGTCAACGTTTGTTATGCAAGCACATATGATATGGAAAAGCAGGAGGCCTATTGATTGGAAAATATCTCTTTATATAATTCTGAACGGTTGTTTTCTGTTAATTATAGGTGGAGTTTCTCAAAAAATGTGGCGATGACCAAATTTGCAACAGTAATTTACAAATGAAAGTATCACCCAAACTGAGAAAGTAAGTGTTTTACATATAGTAAGAATATAGTTAAGATTCATGGTGATTGCTTATAAAGAAAATATAATTATATCTGCTGAATATGTGTGTACAGATAATGAATTTGCTAGTAATGATCTGGATTATCCAGCACAAGTTTGTTGGATATCGCTTGACAGGTTGAAAAATGTCATCAATAAACTATTGAATAACTTTTATTTGATTGTTTGTTTTTACAACACACCAATTTAGTGTAGGTCATATGGCGCTGAAACAGGAAAGATGATTTTGGCTAACCCTGGGTGTTACAATCTTCAAAGCAACACCAGGGATCAGAACCACCCCACCTGATGGAGCTTGCAGATGCTTGGACTCCAGTTATTCAGTGCCATTTAGTTGCCTCTTAAGTTCACACAGAGATAATAGGTGGCTACATTTCTGATGCCTCAACCATTAAAGACAACCCCTCCGCAACAAGGGGATTGCATAAGTATAAGATTAATCATTACTCATTTCCTGCCAGGTAAATACTGGAAAAGAATAAGGGTGATAATATTTTGTGTTAATGTAATAAAATTGTTTTTTGATGTTCATAATTTTACTTATTATTTATATAATTCATTAGAGATGAAGATGGCAAACTAGTTTTAGAGATTGGGAGATCCGATATTGTTCGTGTAGAAGTGGATATAGAAAACATGGGGGAGATTGCGTACCAGACCGAGTTTTACCTGTCTAGACCAAAGAGTCTTACCTGGCAGCAGTCCGACCCCGTAAGTTTATTAAACCTTATAATAATCATCACCTTAAGTGCAATTACTGATTAACGGCTATAAAATTTAGAAGGACTTATACCATGATTGCATTAAGGCGACAAAATATCATTCCACAAAAGTCATAGTAAATGATACCACTTGACTCACAGCTGCTAAAACAAGACCTTAAAGGGACTCCACTGTTTTTTCAAGATGACTGGACTAGAAATAATTGTTAGGGATTAATGTTAGAAATTGTTCGAGATTAATGTTCCATTTGAAACAGATCTAGACCATCTTGTGTGCAAAATTTCAGATAATTTGTTCACTCTCTTTTTCCGTAATGATTATTTACATTGTGAAAAACCACCCAAAATTAAAAAGGGTTGGAACACTGATCACTTAAATCAGACTAAGAATAGCACAAAAATATGATTTTCTATTTATTTTTTTTTCAGTAAATTTTATTATTATTTGTTGTGGATTTTTCTGTTTTAAGTGCCGCAGTTGCCAGCTGGTCTATATAAGAAATTAAAATTTTATGCTTTTGAACCTCAGTGGAGTTCCTTTAAAATACAAAATCATAATGTTGCTGGAAGATTGTCAAGTGAAATTAAATATATAGCACAAACTTAACATGCAAAGGAGTAGTAATGGAAGTTACAGGATAGGTACCATATCAAACCATATTTTGTAAATAATGACAATTTCAGAATGTTTCCATTTTCGTAAAAAGCTTAAAAATACAAATTTTATAGCCGATTGAAATTATATCATAAACTTATGTGAAACAATGATTTAATTTTCTATTTAACAGAAAGACATAGGCTGTGATGTTTACAATGACACTTTAATCAAGTGTCAGAGTATTGGAAGCAAAGACAATGGGAATCCATTAAAGGCAGGAGCAGTAACTGTGTTCGCATTACTTTTCCAAGTTGACAGGAAAGCTATAGCAACTGTAAGGTCCATTCAGCTGACCGCATGGGTCAATACGTAAGCATTCTACGTTTTTACTCAATCCTGTAAATTTGCTTCGGGTAATTGGCTACAAAAATTTGTCCAGAAACAGCCTTTGAATATTTTATCGTTAATCTGTAATAGAGTTTTTAATATGTATTGCAAATTCATCAGTATTTTCAACCATTTGTTTTCCTGTTGAATATATGATTGATTGGTAAAATTAATTTTCATGGAATGTTTATATTATTGTTGGCCATTTGCTCATGTGTATGTATCATTTAACCTGATCTTAAGTGAATTTAAAAAAAAATTGTAATAACTAAGACAACAAAATGCGCTACTTTTTATTACATCATTTAAATATTGAAATTAATGACATTGTTTTGATGTTTTATGCTTGGTTATTGAATGTAGTTACTTCATGAAATGTAACACTACAATATAAGATTCTGTTTATCACATATTCAAAATTTGAACATGTGATAAACAGAATCTTATATTCATGCACATTTAATACTAAAGTTATAATATGGTTTCATTCAACTCATTCAATAAATTTAGTATTAAATCTACACTCATTCAATATCCTCTATATATTTAATGGTTATGTAACATGTACATTGTATAACAAACAACGTCATGAAAGTAATAAATTCTTTTTTTATTATTTTTTTTGTTTTCAGAACGAGTGTTGAAGTAACACCAGCTGCTGACAAAGTTGTAATACCTATAGTAGTTTATGTAAATGCTGATTTACAAGTGTTTGGGTAAGTGAGCATACTGTTAAACCTTTTTTGCTCAAATTCTGGATTCTGAGAACTTAACACGATCTTTATGAGATCTGCAAATTTTGTCATGTTGTATACAGACACAACAAATTGAAGTCCAGGATTTATTTAGCTGACAGTACAAAAATCTAGATTGATTGCTAATGATTCCTCAAATCCTATTTGTAATTTCAATCCAACCACACACTGTGGCAGTGACTATTATTCTGTATTTTAATATATTAAGTCACTGTATAGAAAATGAATACATTATGATGTATTAAACTTTTTGTTACAGAATTGCTGAACCTGACAGTGCCATCTTGTACTCGGGCGATGTCCGGGGAGAAAGTGCTATCAAAAATGAGTTTATGATTGGAAAATCTGTGAACCATACTTATACAGTAAGTTAATTCTGTGAACCATATTTATTAAATCAATTTAAATCTGTGAACTATGTATATATAAAGTAAGCATTTTTGATATTTTACATGAAGTTGACCTCCTTGGATAAACTGTAATAACTCTGAAAACTGGACCCTGTCCAGACTTGACCAAAAGTCACGTTTATAGAGGATTCTGGTTTTCAGAGGATTCCGGTTTTCAAAGTTTTTACTGTATACTTCTTACTGCTATAGGGGCCCTCAGTGGTGTATTATTAAAATGCTGTTGTTAATGTCAAATTCTGACATTACATTGTTTTTGTTGTTTAATGTATGACTGTTGGTCAGTTAAGGTCGAATCCTGTTGGTCAGTAAAGGTCAAAACTGGAAATTACAATGCATTTTGTTTAGTTATTATACACCCACACAATTATGTTGCTGTTGTTTATTATCCCCCGCCGATAGACTCAGGAGGGGGAAATAGTTTTGGCGTTGTCCGTCCGTCGGTACGTCCGCACAAACATTTTAGGTATATGAGCTAACTTCCGTCCGTCTGTCCATCCGTCCGTCTGAATTTCATTTCCGGACTAGTTCTCTGCAACTACTAGCTGGAATTCAACGAAACTTTATGGGAATCATCAATATCAAGAGGAGATGTGCACATCGTCGCCTTGTTCCGGTCAGACACTTTAACTTAGAGTTATGGCCCTTGATTAGTTATGCAGTATGCATATAGAGCAAAAATCATTTCCGCGCTACTTCTCTGCAACTACTGGCTGGAATTCAACGAAACTTTATGGGAACCTTCAATACCAAAAGGAGATGCGCATATCGTCACCTTGTTCCGGTCAGTCACTTTAACTTAGAGTTATGGCCCTTGATTAGTTATTTTGCAGTATGCATATAGAGCAAAAATCATTTCTGCGCTACTTCTCTGCAACTACTGGCTGGAATTCAACAAAACTTTATGGAAACCTTCAATACCAAGAGGAGATGCGCATTATTGTCACCTTGTTTGGGTCAGACACTTTAACTCAGAGTTATGGCTCTTGATTAGTTAATTTTGCAGTATGCATATAGAGCAAAAATCGTTTCTGTGCTACTTCTCTGCAACTACTGGCTGGAATTCAACAAAACTTTATGGGAACCTTCAATACCAAGAGAAGATGCGCATTTCATTGCCTTGTTGGGGTCAGACATTTTAACTTAGAGTTATGGCCCTTAATTAGTTATGCAGTATGCATATAGAGCAAAAATCATTTCCGCGCTACTTCTCTGCAACTACTGGCTGGAATTCAACGAAACTTTATGGGAACCTTCAATACCAAAAGGAGATGCGCATATCGTCACCTTGTTCCGGTCAGTCACTTTAACTTAGAGTTATGGCCCTTGATTAGTTATGCAGTATGCATATAGAGCAAAAATCGTTTCCATGCTACTTCTCTGCAACTACTGGCTGGAATTCGACAAAACTTTATGGGAACCTTCAATACCAAGAGAAGATGCGCATATCATTGCCTTGTTGGGGTCAGACATTTTAACTTAGAGTTATGGCCCTTGATTAGTTATGCAGTATGCATATAGAGCAAAAATCATTTCTGCGCTACTTCTCTGCAACTACTGGCTGGAATTCAACGAAACTTTATGGGAACCTTCAATACCAAAAGGAGATGCGCATATCGTCACCTTGTTCCGGTCAGTCACTTTAACGCAGAGTTATGGCTCTTGATTTGTTATGCAGTATGCATATAGAGCAAAAATCGTTTCCGCGCTACTTCTCTGCAACTACTGGCTGGAATTCAACAAAACTTTATGGGAACCTTCAATACCAAGAGAAGATGCGCATATCATTGCCTTGTTGGGGTCAGACATTTTAACTTAGAGTTATGGCCCTTGATTAGTTATGCAGTATGCATATAGAGCAAAAATCATTTCCGCGCTACTTCTCTGCAACTACTGGCTGGAATTCAACGAAACTTTATGGGAACCTTCAATACCAAAAGGAGATGCGCATATCGTCACCTTGTTCCGGTCAGTCACTTTAACTTAGAGTTATGGCCCTTGATTAGTTATGCAGTATGCATATAGAGCAAAAATCATTTCCGTGCTACTTCTCTGCAACTACTGGCTGGAATTCGACAAAACTTTATGGGAACCTTCAATACCAAGAGAAGATGCGCATATCATTGCCTTGTTGGGGTCAGACACTTTAACTCAGAGTTATGGCTCTTGATTAGTTAATTTTGCAGTATGCATATAGAGCAAAAATCGTTTCCGTGCTACTTCTCTGCAACTACTGGCTGGAATTCAACAAAACTTTATGGGAACCTTCAATACCAAGAGAAGATGCGCATATCATTGCCATGTTGGGGTCAGACATTTTAACTTAGAGTTATGGCCCTTGATTAGTTATGCAGTATGCATATAGAGCAAAAATCATTTCCGCGCTACTTCTCTGCAACTACTGGCTGGAATTCAACGAAACTTTATGGGAACCTTCAATACCAAAAGGAGATGCGCATATCGTCACCTTGTTCCGGTCAGTCACTTTTACTTAGAGTTATGGCCCTTGATTAGTTATGCAGTATGCATATAGAGCAAAAATCGTTTCCATGCTACTTCTCTGCAACTACTGGCTGGAATTCGACAAAACTTTATGGGAACCTTCAATACCAAGAGAAGATGCGCATATCATTGCCTTGTTGGGGTCAGACATTTTAACTTAGAGTTATGGCCCTTGATTAGTTATGCAGTATGCATATAGAGCAAAAATCATTTCCGCGCTACTTCTCTGCAACTACTGGCTGGAATTCAACGAAACTTTATGGGAACCTTCAATACCAAAAGGAGATGCGCATATCGTCACCTTGTTCCGGTCAGTCACTTTAACTTAGAGTTATGGCTCTTGATTAGTTATGCAGTATGCATATAGAGCAAAAATCATTTCCGCGCTACTTCTCTGCAACTACTGGCTGGAATTCAACAAAACTTTATGGGAACCTTCAATACCAAGAGGAGATGCGCATTATTGTCACCTTGTTCGGGTCAGACACTTTAACTCAGAGTTATGGCTCTTGATTAGTTAATTTTGCAGTATGCATATAGAGCAAAAATCATTTCCGTGCTACTTCTCTGCAACTACTGGCTGGAATTCAACAAAACTTTATGGGAACCTTCAATACCAAGAGAAGATGCGCATATCATTGCCTTGTTGGGGTCAGACATTTTAACTCAGAGCTATGGCCCTTGATTAGTTGTTATTCAGTATGCATATAGAAAAATATTTGTTTCTGCGCTACTTCTCTGCAACTACTGGCTGGAATTCAATGAAACTTTATTGGAACCTTCAATACCAAGAGGAGATGGGCATATCGTCGCCTTGTTCTGGTCAGACATTTTAACTTAGAGTTATGGCCCTTGATAACTTATGCAGTATACAACCAAAGCAATAGTCGTTTCCGTGCTACTTCTCTGTAACTACTGGCTGGAATTCAATGAAACTTTATGGGATACGAAGAGGAGATGTGCATAAAGTCGCCTTGTTCCGGTCAGACACTTATTACTAAGATTTATGGCCCTTGATTAGTTATGCAGTATGCATACATCTCATTGGCATTTCCAGATATTACTATTTAACACAGTGTTATGGCTCTGTTATTGCCCTGAATATTTATCAAGTTTAAAGAATATTACTGTTTATGCCATGATAAATATATTAATAAAGCCTTATGTCTTCAGTTGTTGTATTAGTAATAACCAGTACTCGGTGGGAGATATAAATTCAACGAATTTGCTTGTTTTACACCAGATTTACAACAATGGTCCAGGCAGTGTAGAATCATCTGAGATCACGATTTTGTGGCCGTACGAGACAGGTAGCAAATATCCTCATGGCAAACATCTCCTGTATCTAATGCAGCCACCACAGGTTTGTGCCAGTATTATTGTTATAATTATATTCACATCTCATTTAGTATATCACTACGTAATGTGGCGGGTTCAAATCCTGTTGAAAATACTTAGTTATCTATTGAGACCCTCATTACTGTGGGGTTAGATCCTACTGAAAATAGCCATGTCTAAAACCCAGGGCTCAAATGCTTCTGCAAGAAGTTTTGAAAAATCTTTTTGAGCCCAACATCTCAGTGTTTTCAAATGTTGATAAAAACTAAAATTCTGAAGAAGCAAAATCAGATCATTGCTTTCACATTTTACAAATTTCTTTAGGTTAGTTTGTGTATGATAACCATCATTTACATTACTGAAGTTTATGATAACCATTTACATTACTGAAGTTTATGATAACCATTTATATTACAGAAGTTTATGATAACCATTTACATTACTGAAGTTTATGATAACCATTTACGTTACTGAAGTTTATGATAACCATTTATATTACTGAAGTTTATGGTAACCATTTTCATTACTGATGTTTGTGATAACCATTTACATTACTGAAGTTTGTGATAACCGTTTACATTACTGAAGTTTATGATAACCATTTATATTACTGAAGTTTATGATAATCATTAACATTACCGAAGTTTATGATAACCATTTACATTGCCGAAGTTTATGATAACCATTTACTTTAACGAAGTTTATGATAACCATTTACATAACTGAAGTTTATGATAACCATTTACATAACTGAAGTTTATGATAACCATTTACATTACCGAAGTTTATGATAACCATTTACTTTAACGAAGTTTATGATAACCATTTACATAACTGAAGTTTATGATAACCATTTACATTACAGAAGTTTATGATAACCATTTACATTTACTTCAGGTTCTTAATGGAGGTGATGCCACGTGTTATGATCAACCAGATATTGTCAATGTTATAGGTGTAGCGGTAAGTAAAAAAAACATTTCACAATTTCCATATGTTAATGAAAATAAACAACAACAAAATCAATTGTGAAATCATCAATATTATTCTGGATATCAAATTTGCTAGATTTTATGTTTCTAAATCAATCATCAATCATTTTATTTGATTTTAATGATATACTTCAGGTTTGTGAATTGACAAAAGGAATGGGGTTATTTTGACAGTGTCTATTCAACAATTTGAAAAACACGGGGACAGGGGGGATTTTTATCCAAAAGTGAGAATTTATTACATTTGGTGATATTTTCCCTTCTTTCTCTGTAAAATTCCCCCCCCCCCTTTCCTCTGAAAAAATGGGGGGGGGGGGGGGGTCTCAAAAATATGAGTGAATCATTGAAAGTTTATGATGAAAAATGATAAATTCCATTTTGATAATGTAATATTATAAAAGTAAAAATGGAAATATTATCTTTTTAGGAAGAAATTAAAGTTCTAGTTGACAGTTATTCATTCTGTAGAATGTTGATATTTAACCCTTAACCTGCTGGAACTAAATGTGATTAGCCATTCCCACCAGTATAGAGCCAGGCCGACCTGAATATCACTGCAGTCTAGACAGAATCTAGTCAGAATAGCCTTAATATCACTGCAGGCCATACAGAATCTAGTCAGGCCGGCCTGAATATCACTGCAGTCCAGACAGAATCTAGTCAGTCCAGCATGAATATCACTGCAGTCCAGACAGAATCTAATCAGACCAGTCTGAATATAACTGCAGTCCAGACAGAATCTAGTCAGTCCAGCATGAATATCACTGCAGTCCAGACAGAATCTAGTCAGTCCAGCATGAATATCACTACAGTCTGGACATAATCTAGTCAGGCCAGCCTGAATATCACTGCAGTCTGGACAGAATCTAGTCAGGCCGGCCTGAATGTCACTGCAGTCTGGACAGAATCTAGTCAGGCCAGCCTGAATATCACTGCAGTCTGGACAGAATCTAGTCAGACCAGCCTGAATATCACTGCAGTCCGTATAGAATTTAGTCAGACCAGCCTGAATATCACTGCAGTCCGTATAGAATTTAGTCAGACCAGCCTGAATATCACTGCAGTCCGTATAGAATTTAGTCAGACCAGCCTGAATATCACTGCAGTCTGGACAGAATCATATTCTACACTGTTGGCTGACCAAATTTTAGATTTTCATCTTGATATCCCCCAAAATTGATTATGGACAGTTCCAAAAATAATAGCTGGATGAATTCATTAAATAAATCCAGCAGATTTAGGGTTAAGTATAGAGTAACCAGTCTCTTCAGATTACACAAAACTGCTGACTGGCCAGGCTCTATACTGATGACATGGGAAATTTATTATCAACAATAGTGTCCAAAGGGAAAAATGAGATATCCCATATAAATGCCAGAATTTTAATGATTTCACAATGAGTTGTTTGGCTGGTTTTGTTTTTTAATAAAAAACTAAAAGTTTGAAAGTTTGTTGAGATGCCATTTTGTTTAAAGTTACAGTTCATTGTTGTTAAGTTAATATTTAAGTTAACGATACTAACATTCAGGCTTTTCATTTGAAGAGGCCTTTACTAGAAATGAAATAATACATAAAAAAGATAATTATTAAGAATATGTTTGAGAATACAGTACAACCCGTCCAGAACAGCCCTTTGTAAACCAATTAAAGCAATCACGTAATAACAACATCAAAAAAATATTTCCCAAAGGAAGACTGCAATGACTTTTAGTTTCATTGTTAAGGAAGCTAATAGCTTATAGACATACTTTTAAATCTGTTCCTGGAACTAACCAGTACTAAACAATAAGTGTAAAGTTTCTTGCTCAAGGAAACAACAGCTTGCCCCTAACCATGTTGAACCCACTACGCTAGCGATTATAAAATACTAGCGTGACATGCTGACCACTCAGCCATGCAGCCATTTTGTTTCACAAAGGGTGTAGCTGTACATGGGTTGTACTGTATCATGTGATTAAAATGCTATATTATATTATATTCATTATTGCATAATTATGCATACAAAGTGTAACCATAAATATAACCATGCCCACAATCCAATTTAAGTTCAGAGGCTAATATCACTTCTAACATATAGATATATATTATCTATTTTGCTGTTTGGCATTGCCTGCATCACAAAGCATTGACATAATTACATATTATATGCTTTCTATATTGTAAGCTTGGGAATTCATCATAAAATGTTTGTCTGCTCTGAAAGTAAAATATACATCAAGTTAAATTACAATTAACATAAATGCAACCTCATCACATAGTGATGGTAAGAATGTTTAATTTGATAAAGTCAAAAATGCTTAATTTGAATCACCATCTATTGAGGAATCAATCTCTAATA